GGCGGCCGCGCGCGGGTAGCAGCGTGCTCCGGGTGCCAGCTCGAGTAGCAGCAACAGCAGGATGGTAGTGGTCTCGTCGCATCTCGAGGCCAGGGGCGTCATGCCCGTTTCAGGATAATGTCATCGTCATCAAACGGACAATGTCGTGGTGATGGGAGCCCTGGCTGGCTACCTTCGATAACTCTCCCAGTCGGCAGATTAGGGTTATCGCTATTGTTCAACCCGGTGTACCTACCGTCCTCCGGGTGATTAACTGAACGACCTCTCGCGATCACGGAGACAAGCGTCGCGGGGGTTGTTTCTGCATCGGACCGAACGGTTTTTTTTTAGAATGACCACCTTTCCTCGTTGAACGTCGCCGTTGATTTATTGCTTGCTTCTTCTTCGTATTCTCGGTATTCGGTCTCACGATGACGGAGTTAATACGGGAAGAGCGTACAGAGGGAAAGATTTATGGGTAAGTCCGCTGGGCGGCTGGATTAAGGAGATAAAGGCGGATAGGTGACACGAACACGCGGGACAGAGAGCCGTGGATGAAAGTAAGGAAGAGATTGAGAACGAGCGTGAAAAATTGGTCCCCCTTTCGTTATCTTCCTCTTAGATTAAAGCTCGCTCGGACACTAATTAAGCAAACTCGTGTCCTCTCGCGGCAGCTATCGAACGGATCTGGAAGTCGATCCTCGACTCGTTCTCGCTCGAGCGTGTACCTCTTTTATTTTTTTTCTCGGCGAATTTCTACGCGCGGCTTCGACGTTGCTCCCGATCTCAACGACGTCCGCTCGCTAATTAGTTATCGCGCCAAAAGGCTAAAAGGCTAAGCGCTAGATACCCGTACTGCTCCGACTTGCTTATGCGAATTGTATATTCTTATTATTTCGCTCGTTAGAACGGAATCGAACAGAATCGAATGAAAACTCGCGACAGACAGATATTATTAATTAGATGCTACGCACGCACAGACACACGCGACGAGACGAAATTGAACCGCAAGTTGTCTCGTGTACACATTTACACGCACGGGTGTCGCCCGTTTTCTAATTAGAATCTATTCTCGGCTACTCGCGTAGCGGCCTCGAGTTCGCCGAGCCGCTGCTGGTCCTTAGTGGTACGACTTACGAATTATTCCCCGTTTATCCGCGACCCGTTCCCTTATCGCTTTACACGGTCTTATCGCCGTACGTGTAGCTCGGTCGAAGGAGAACGGAAGCGCGAAAAGGGAGAGCGCGTCGACGTTTCTTCGATCAACGTCCTCGACTCTTCTGTACACCTATTTACACCCTCGAGATTCGTCGATACACGCCCCTGAACCCTTCCTTGGCTCGTCCTTTAACCCTCGCTCGTTTCACGCCACGGATCAACAGGATTCATTTACAAGGAGGGAGAGAGGAGAGAGAGAGAGAGAGAGATGCGCAGCATGTTCACGCAAATTACGCAGATACGTTGCAACCGTGCAGCGACTTGGCTATATCGGTCGACGAACAGTTTCCAGCACTCGCGAGTAAAAACTACCCTCTCTAACGGCTCGACTGCGAGCGTCACATCCGAACGTTCTCACTTTGTTCGTTGGTAATTTCGCGGAAGTCGGATCGAAGATCAGGGCCGTCGACGCGTCACGCTGCTACCTTCTCCGTCTTGTTTCGCGACCTCGGTCACCGTTTCCGTGCGAATGCTCATTTCCCATGGGAAATCCTCAAGTCTCGATCGTCCTTGTTCGTCCAGACTGTCGCTTTTCTCTTCCTCGGGCACTGAAACTTCACACCTTCGCGCCACGAAGACCGCCACAACCGAAGCACACGGATGGAGACACGCGCGGGAAAATCGGCCGCGAGTTCGTAGCACCGGTTCTCGGCCGAGCACTCCCGAACGGGACGGCACCGATCGAGGAACGAACGATCCCGCAGAGGGTGACCGAGGAGAACTGTCGGTGAAATACGCGGCGATCCGCGTGGCGCGGCTACGTGGTTCGCGAGTGGCTCGCCCTCGGCCCTCGGGATCCGCTCGGTGCACCCTCTCCTCGTGGCCGTTGGAGGTTCGATGCGTGCGTGCGTGCGTGGGTGCGTGCGGACACCTCGAGGTTGTCTCGTGGATGTTTGGGAACGCACTGCAGCCGCGAGGGACGAGCCAGGAACTCGGACTCCCTCTCGTGTCGTTCGCTGGATAAAGACTCTCCTCGCAGGATGTCG